TAACACTTGGGCTCATATTGGCCATGCTTTGGCCCCTTCCGGCATGCAGGAGGAAGGGCGTCAGTTAGGATGAAGATGATGCATTATAGAGCCGCACGGACATCCAGGTGCATGAATACCAGATTTTCGCATAAAGTCCAGTCATTTTTTCGGTAAATGCTCGCTTTGTGAAAAAATGACAAATGCAGATTTTTTGAAAAAATGCAAATTTCCGGTTCACTAGAAAGTGGAAGTATTGCTCTAATGGTCGTTTGTCAAAAAATCCATGTTTATTTACAAGTACGGTTGCGGTTCAGGTCCGAGCTGCGAACGATTTTTCGGTTGAGGAGCTGCTTGAGGCTGTGGTTGGGGTGCTCGATAGCCAAGTTTAAAATCTTTAGCACGCACATGCATAGAGAATATCCCTACAAAGTTTCAGCTTTCTACCTTACCTGGCTCGCGAAATCATATTTCTTTCTTTTTGGGGGAGGGGTGGGGTCGTACGCTTAGGTACGTATGGGGAAAGGTCTTAAAAACGAGTATGACACATGGGGTAAGGGCGTATACCGAAGTTTCAGCCTCCCAGCTTTCCTGGTTGCTGAGATGAAAGTGGGTGACAAAATGCACTCGCTTCCGAACACACACACAGACAGCCTCTGGACAACATGCGTTTTTGCTGGCTGTAGCGGTGCTATAGCGCCGCACAGCAAAACCGCATAAAAAGCACAATCGCACAAATAATCCTGGGCTTTCCCGCCTGAGTTTTAATCTCCTCGTTGCTGCCGTGTCACAGATCGACGATATGGTAAGTAGAAGCCATAATGGCACGCACGTCCATCTCTTCCGCCAAACAAAATTAACAATGCTCTATTTTTTCTCGGCTTATTTCAAATATAAATCCAGGTTGAAACACACCAGGCGGGCCAGTGCGGTTATGCGTATTTGAACCGGACTTGAAGTACTCAGGTCATTAATTGCATGAATGGTTGTTGGTTTATACCTACCTTTTGCGGTCACTAGTATAAATCACCATAAATTTTGCATAAAGTAAATGTACAATTTCTGTGTAACGGTCGAAAATAACCTAGCTGTTCAGTCAGAAATTTTTCCCTCAGAACTTTAAGTGCCCGTACGTAAGAATCACGCATACCTCAAGGCTGATTTTGCAATGTGATCGGACAGAGGACATCACCCTGAAATTTTAGCCTTCCCAAGTTAATTTTTCCACAGAAAATTTAACCCGCCTTCACGTAAGTACCATGCACAGCTGGAGGCTGAGTTTGAAATATTTGAGTTGTAATTGTACAGGAGACATTACCCCAAAATTTCAGTTCCCGAGTTAGCAGTTTTCTCGCTAAAAATTTTATACACCCTTACGTGAGTACCACGCATAGCTGGGGACTGAATTTGAAATCTTAAGCTAAAACATGCACATGAAACATCCTTACAAAGTTTCAGCCCCTTTTCTTGTCTGGTTCCGAGATCACTTTCTCGCTAAAAAATTTGCATATTTTTTTAAAGCGTCCGTATGCGGCACCTAGGCGTCCGCAGGGGATGATATTAAAACGGAAGGGTTGCGCATGGTATGGGCACATAACCCCAAAGTTTCAGCTTTCTAGCTTTTCTGGTTCTCGAATTGAAAGTGGGTGACAAAAAGCGCAAACACACAGACATACGAACACACACAATCAGCCTCTTCCCAATATGCTTTTTTGCAATTTACTTATATGCAAAAACGCATAAAAAAACATCCTTAGATACGACGAATTGCTGACAAATACAGAAAATCATTAGATTCATAAAACCGAATTTGTGACCTCAGAATGCAATTTTTAACCATACTTGAAACTACAGCTTTGCGATGCAAACCCGGCGACAGTGCGCTTAAATTAAGAGCAAAATAGGATTCGTGAGCAAAACAGCCACATAGTTTAAATGATCCTGTGACATAAAAAAGTCATGGACTGTAAGTGACATCTTGTCTATCAACCACTCATTGTAAAATTTATCGAAATCA